AAAAACTATTTCATTAAGCATAAACAATGTCTTAATTCATATTCCCTTGTTAGAACAACATCAATACATTTGTGATAAAGAGTTTGCGCCCGTGCCGCGTGGTGATTTAACTCTTATCATCAAAACTATTGACGAATCACACTGGATTTATAAAATTTTAGAAGAAAATTTTAGTGAACATCTATTAAAACTATGGCAACGTAGCCCACGTTTTTGTAGTTTAAAATTGAAAGACCCTAATGTTATCATTAGAGTAAGACCAATGAGCTATACTAGACAAGATGTAGATGAATTTGATATTCAACTCCAGGAACTTTTAGACAAAAAGTTGATTGAAGAAACTAGAAACCCTCATTCTAGTCCAGCTTTTATGGTAAAAAGCCATGCTGAAATTAAAAGAGGAAAAGCCCGAATGGTAGTCAACTATAAACGGCTAAATCAAAATTTAGAATTTTATGGATATTTTATTCCACGAAAGATGTTTTGATTAACTTAACCAAAGGATCAAAAATCTTTAGCAAATTTGATTATAAAAGTGGATTTTGGCAAATTCAATTGATTGAAGAGTCAAAAAAATTGACAGCTTTCAGTACACCTAGAGGACATGACCACTGGAATGTTATGCCTTTTGGGTTAAATATTACACCACAGGTATTTCAACAGTGGATAGATACAATTTTTAAAGATCTTAAAGATTGTTGTGTAGTTTATATTGATGATATACTTATCTTCTCTAAAACCAAGGAGGAGCATAAGAAACATTTAAAATTACTTTGTGAAAAATTCCAAAAATATGGAATTATTTTGTCTCCAAAAAAGATTGAACTAGAAAAATAATCAATTGAATTTTTGGGAATAATTTTAGACTAGAAAGGTTTAAAATTACAAGAACATATTTTGTCCAAAGTACGAGATTTTCCTGATACTCTTGAAAATATAACACAATTACAGAGTTTATTAGGCATTTTAAATTATGGACGAAATTTTATCAAAAATCTTTCAAAAACAGAAATTCCTTGGTTAACCAAATTAAGAAAAAATGTTATTTTTTAATGGACAGCAGAACATGTTGCTTTAATTAAACAAATTAAAGAAAATGTTAAAACTTTATTAGATGTTTATCTTCCTAAAACAGGTGATAAATTAATTTTAGAAACAGATGCCTTAGAAGCATGCTGGGGATGTGTTCTTAAAGCAATACCAAGTAATTTATGGTATGATAAAGAGATACCTTTATCAGAAAATGGGATTAGACCAAGAAAAAAATCTAATACCCATAAAATTACAAAAAGAAGAATTAATTTGCGAATATAATTCTGGAACATTTAAACCAAATGAACAGAAATATATTATTTTCAAAAAAGAATTACTTGCAATAAATTTAGCAATAAAGAGTTTTCATATTTATATAGCCCCAGAAAATTTTATTGTGCGCACTGATAATAAGGCAGTAAGAGATTTCTTGATCAATAAAACCTATTGAACAAGGAAGAAGATTAGCCTGGTATAATAAATTTCTGAATATACTTTTGAAGTAGAACATCTTAAATGTACTAACAATTTTCTTGCAGATTTTCTTAGCAAAAATTGTTTCAGAAAATTAAATTGCTAAACAAGTAAATTTAATTTTTGCAGAAGACCTCTAGACCAAGAGGAAATAATGGATAAGGGTAAACACCCCGCTCAAGGAGATTGGGTGACAATTGCTAAAAAAACAATCCCTAGAGAAGAAAAAGTTTATGTTGTGTTTGCAGGAAGACAACCTGGAATTTACACAGAATGGAATGATTGCAAAACACAAGTTTGTGGATACTCAGGAACAAGTTTTAAAGCATATGATAGCATGACCAAAGCTAAAAAAGCTTTTTACTGTGCACCAGCCAGGCCAATTTATCAAAAGAATCAAATGAGAACTAACCCAATTCCAACTAATATTCAAACAGCTAAACCAGATGAATCTGAGATAAAAGATTTTTTCAACCCTGGTATATCTAGAGAAATTTATACAGAACTCAATAGAGTTTGGAAAACTCACATTGTAGACAACAAAGTGAAATTTCGAAAACACATGGGAGTTCTGGCTAACAAATTAGCTGAACAAACAGCTAAATTAAAATATGTGCAAAATCTTTGTTTCAATATTCTTAAACAAATGAATTGGAATGAAGATTTTAATTTTGAAAAAATAAACAATTTTCTTCAACTATCAGACCTCATATCAGATGAGTTTTCTGATCTAGTTTTTGAACAAATAAAAAGAATTTGTCTTTTTGAAAAAGCAAGAACTTTGCTTCTAAAAGAAATTTTTATGTTAATAAAAAATCGAGTTGAAAATCATCATGATAAGATTAGAACGATCTTATGATAAATTAAATTTGAAAGATAGAATTCCCAAAATAACTATCATGACAAACCATGATATGTGGTTTTTTGAGGATATAGATTGGGGAATAACTAATCAAGTTATTTTTCAAATTTTAGATCCAATCCAATGGATAGATTATCCAATGATCATCAAAGCAATGCTGATGGAGCAAAATTTTACTTTCTAGATCTCCAGCATTGTTGGTTGGCGAGAACGAGAACATTTTTTTCAACCATACCAGATTTGGTATCTTAAAGAAACTGAAGATTTTGAATTTGAAGATGATTATTTAGATAAAGATCACCGGAGAGAACGATTGGAAAATATCCAAAAATTTTCTTTGACAGAATGTTGGATAGACAGTCTAATATCTGTTTCACAAGCAGCGTCCAACATCCATGGCTCAGCAAAATTGCCGTTCATGGTTACAGATGGTAGAATATTATTTGTAACCCATTTTCTCATAACATATCAAAAGTCTCCTACACAAATTAATGAGGCTCTTGACATGTTAATAAATCTCAAAAAGAGAAATAATTTGGATCTTCCATTGGAACTAGCCATGATCGTGGATGATGTAGAACATTTCCGGAATGAGCAATACAGCCAAGATCCGGATTCCCCTCCATCAGAGACTGATGAAGATTATCACAATCTCATCAACAGGATGGAAGCATAGTGGACCCCACTATCAAATGCAGCTGTCTCCTGATCGACTCCAACCTTATCCAGGACACGTGGAGCAACCTGCATCATTTGGCGAAAAGTGATCAGCCAAATCTTTTCAGCCGACGCTACACGACAAATCCGCTCAGCCAAAGCTTATCTATAGCAGTCTATCTCTTTGAAAATCGAGGAGGATAGACAGTGTATGTATATAATTGTAGTATAAAGATGACCGGTTGTCTCCTGATCGACTCCAACCTTATCCAGGACACGTGGAGCAACCTGCATCATTTGGCGAAAAGTGATCAGCCAAATCTTTTCAGCCGACGCTACACGACAAATCCGCTCAGCCAAAGCTTATCTATAGCAGTCTATCTCTTTGAAAATCAAAGAGGATAGACAGTGTATGTATATAATTGTAGTATAAAGATGACAAATAATTAAAGTCGCTCATTTATGACTTTTTGTCTTTGTATTTAATTTTGTGGAAATGTTGTATAAGCCTATGCCTAAGCTTGTAGACTTTGTCAAAAAGTTGTAAAGTTTTGTCAAAAGTTGTAGAAATTGGACGTAAGGTAGATATGCCATAACTTTTGGTTTTTGTCTGTATATACAATATGTATTCTATAAATTGGCATTCAAGCCAATGAAGAAGGCAATGTAAATTCTCTCCATATCCTCTCCATCTTTGTGCTTCCTCTTTTGTCTCTAATTTCTCTATCATAATTCTATAACTCCACCATAATTCCATAAGAAAAATAGTAAAAAGCTCATTTCTTTTTTTGTTTAGTAATTGGTATCAGAGCTTGGTGAAGAACTTTTGAAAATAAGATCAAACTATGTAAGTATTTCTATCTATGTATAAATTTTTGATATATATATAAGTGTGTATGGAGTGTTTTATGTAATAAAAAAAAAACAAAAAAAAAAAAAAAATTATTTAAAAATTCTGTCTAAGTTTTTTGTGTATCGCTTGTATTTTATATCTTCATAATTATTTGATGAAACATATTAACCAAATATATTTTTAAAATACAACTTAAAATTACTTTCAAAATTCCTTTCTTTTTTTATTTTATTATTATTAATCAATCAATTAATCAATTTTTCTCTCTCTCATGTCTCTCTCTCCTCTCACATTTTATACATCAATCAATAAAAATTACAAATCATCCTAAAACTATTATCAAAACTCATAACCAAACAAATTTTTTATTTTTAAATCATAATTCAAAAGCTCGATTCAAAACATAACTCCACACTAAAATCATTATTCTAAACCCAAACCAAACGGACCCATCATCAGACATCTCTCAACTTCAGCAAAAATTTATAGAAAAACTGAGGAGGGAGCAAGGCATATCTTCTCGGTAGAAGAAAGTGAAATGGCAAAAGCTCTACTACAGAGTTTTACTTCTTATCATCATCAACACCTCAAGAGAGGTAGAAAAGAAAACAAGAAACATACAAAGACATTAAATTTTTAAATTGAACCTTTTTTTTTTTTTTTTTTGGAAAATGCAATTCAATCACAATCACTATTGCAATTTTAAAATTCAATTAGATCCCTCAAATGTTCCAATCACCAATCTCTGAAAGGTTTGAGTACTATAAAGTGATGCATTAAATAAATAAATAAAAAAAACTTTAATTTTAATTTCAAGTCTTTCGGTGTCCTAAACATTAAAAATTCTCAAAACAAAAAATAAGCTTTTGTCATAATCAAAACGAGAGAGAGAGAGAGAGAGAGAGAGATATTTAATTACTTTACATACTATAAGGGAAGTAATAAAATTTACACCTTTACAGAACATTCAAATGGACTCACCTACCAGATAACGGGAAAGAAAAGAAAAGAGCAAAATCCCAACCTCCAACACGAGGAATAAACTAAAAACAAAAAATAAGCTTTTGTCATAATCAAAACGAGAGAGAGAGAGAGAGAGAGAGAGAGAGAGAGAGAGAGAGAGAGAGATATTTAATTACTTTACATACTATAAGGGAAGTAATAAAATTTACACATTTACAGAACATTCAAATGGACTCACCTACCAGATAACGGGAAAGAAAAGAAAAGAACAAAATCCCAACCTCCAACACGAGGAATAAACTAAAAAAAATATGACGTGAGAAGAATCTCAATCATCCAATAATTCAACAATCAGCAAAAGTACGGAATTGTTTATATCGTGAACTGTGTCATCATACCATACAAAGCATCTCCATATGTCCGTTAGTCTCACCGCGCCCATGATGCAGAATCAATCTCATCCCTCGCTGACTTGTACAGTTCAAGCCTTTTTGCACATTGTTGCCTCCTCTCCATCAATGCTGGATCTTCATCTAACAATTGTGCAAGCTGCTTAGCCTGAAAACATGGCAGAAAAAAGGCCACAATTTCATATGTGTTACGACAATTCAACAACTTCCAACAGCAATTTCATGAAAAAGGGTATACTTTAATCAAGTGCTAACAAGTTAATCTTTCAACCTTTGCATTTCATGATTACTATAATGCTACACAACTTACAATAGGAACGTAATTTTATACCGTATAAGTATTTTTTTTTTTCAAATTTCTTCACAAATATTTTACTTTTTAAGTATATTTAAAAATTAATATTTTTTTTACTAAAATATGAAAAAAAATTCACTAAAGACAAAAAAACAAGAAAAACAAATAACCGAAAATAGTGTTTTAAGTAACCAAACAATACAATTTTGGCAAAAAAGGAAGACCTTTATTTTTTCACAATATCACATGGGAAGGGGCCCGCCACATATGAGAAGGTGGTAGAATTTTTTTGATAGAAAAATTGGGTCTACAGCAAAATTGTAATTTTGGTCTTCAGGGGTGGAACCAATATTTTATACTAGGGGTGCTGCCTCATAGAGACGGCGGCAGAAGAGAGCCTATGATTGACCCTATTGGTGATGGTAATGACAGGTTTCTTCAAATTTCATTAATTAGAGAGAGATTCATCTAGTTTAGGAATAACTGGTGTGACATTAAATTTGAATAAAATAAAATTATGTAATCCACTGTCTTCTAGTTACTGTATAAATAACAAGCTGTGCGCCTCAAAGGATTGAAGAAACTCTATTGAAGACTCTTACCCCACACACACACACACACACACACAAAGACAGAGTGGGTGAGTACCTCTTTCTTGCCAATTTGAATGTAGAAGCGATTGAGCAAGGACTGTTTGGCCTCCTTAACCTGACAATAAACCACTGCCTTGGGAATTATGTTCTTGATTGTCTCAGACACCATTCCCACGTAAGAAGACACATTTGAACCTATCCTCCTAAAGTGGCCCTCTGCGTAGCGATCCACAGTTGGGGCGGCGGCAGCAGCAGCAGGAGTAGCTGGGTTAACCCCTTTCTCTACCTCCTGGGGCAGTTTCCTGAAGAAATCTACCGTCAGGTATGAAGATTCCATGTCCACCAATCTTATAACTGTCTTCTTACTTTCCTCCCGAAACCTTTCCAAGGCTTCACCCGCTGCAGCAGCTATTTCAGCTTGCAGTGTAGGAAACCGCCTCAACTCCTGTCCCGTTAAAAACATAAATTTGGTTTAGTCTTTTGAAAAACTATTTGAGGTTTTTTTTTTTTTTCAGATGCACTGAAAAAGTGAAAATATTTATAAAGAAATTCATTTTAAAAATTCACTGACAAAAAAAAAGTACGGAAATGTAATGTCTAGTTTTTGAAAAATATTTTTGAGGTTTTTTTTTTTTTTTGTTTTTTTTGGGGGGGGGGGGGGGGGGGGGTTTTCATATATTAGTATTAAAAAAAAAAATCTTTTTGGATGCACCTACAAAGTTATAAGGAAATTAGAAAAAATGTTCAACAAAAAATACCGAAATGTGCTGGTTATTTTATTTTATTGTCTTTAGTGAACTTTTTCATATTTATTCACAAATATTTACTTTTTAACTGCATCTAAATTAGGTGCATCTAATAACTAAAAAAATTGACTAAAATATGAAAAAAGTTCGCTTAAGACAAATATGGAAAACAAATAACTCAAGCAGGTTTTGAGTTTGAAAACCAAACAAGGAGAAAATATTCAAGGCACTTTCCAAATAACAAGGGCACACTAGAAAACTATGCAATCAGCTTCAAAGGGTGGTTCACCTGAGTTTCTCCAATTGACTTTCTAACAAGTTCCTTCAAAACAAAGTGAACCTACATTTAAAGAGTTCTTGGTTAGGCACATATTCGGAGGCAATTTTTGGATAAGCACATAAATATATTTTAAATGAAACCAGTGCAAACCAAAAATAGTAGTTAACACTACTACTTACTGCGTCAACTGAAGCTTCAGCTGGGCCCCTAAAATAATTTAATGACCCCTCAATAAGTCGTCGATAACCTTGCTCGGGTGCAATCAAGTGTGGTTGGTAACCATCTGCCTCTGAAACAATTTTCTTCACATTCTGCAGAGAAAGATGCCGATCAAATGGAAGCTTTCTTAAAGCAGCGGGAAGCTGGTTGTCAAATACACCATAAATCCGATCACCTCCAGGTCGACTGCAAAAAAAATAAAAAAATAAAATCCACATTTATAAATCACAGACATGAACCCAAGATTAAAAAAAAAAAAAAAAAAAAAATGCATAGAAGGCCCAAGCACTCAATGAACAAAGCAGATAAATAGTCAAAAGTCGAAATCATGTCTTCGAAATCCTGCATCCTTAGTTGCCTGTTCATAAATCATACTAAAGAAGCAACTCAGCCTAAAAACCAATGACTCGAGGGCAATGAGATGGGCTTAAGTTAGCTTGGATTGATTAAAACTAACAACTCCATTTTGAGGGACAAGTCAAAACCACCTGCATTCCGATGGTAGTAGTGTATCAAATATATAATGTTCTAGGTTGTAGTAAGTGGGAATTTGGGTCATTAAAAAAAAAAAAAACCGCAGTGACTCCACCCTCAAACAAAAAGGTATGCACCATTCCCATAGGAGCTTTGAAGAGGCCAGTTGTTAAGATACACATATTTTAGCTGAGGAATTGCTTATACAATATATTAATGCTTGAGGGTAGTTTAGTCATTTGCATCTTTTAATTAAGGTTTATCATTGTTTATTAAATTCTTCTGTATTAGGTATTTTATTCATCCAACTCAACCTACAGCTCTCCAACACATGTATCCAATATTTTCCTTTGCAGACATTTTAAAGCATTTTATCAGCTATATGTAATCCATATCTATAACATGTCAATACAGAACCAAAAGCTATTTCATTTTTCTGAGTTCTATCTCTATCAATTAGTGCAACTATGCATGCACGTGTGGTGGTTGTTTATTTCTACCCTTTTTCCCCTCTTTTTTGGAGAGGGGCTGTGAGTAATGTTATCCTTCCCATACATTAAGGCCATATTTGTTTGGGGAGATTACAGAGGGGATTAAACTAGAGAATATATGGGGCCAACAGTTCAGAATATCTCCCAAGGGACTCCTAATAATGCATTTGTTTGGACGGATTGCTAGTCTAGATCAAACTGCTAGTATCAGGCCAATTATGTTGTTTATTAATAATGCAAATGGATGGATGCGTGAGAATATTCGGTTTTATGTATATATGATAGTATATATATTTTGTACATGTTAGGAGTTAAATAGATATTCTTATTTCCTTTTTCAATCCTAGGTTAGATTGTTATATAAACCGATATACTCTATATTACAAATGCAATTGAATATACAGATTCTTCAGAAAACTTACATGGTATCAGAGCCGTCACCATTATTCTCTTATTCGAAACCCTAGATCTATCACCATTGTTCTTTGATTCGCGCTCTCTCTCTTGGATTCGCTAGTTGTCTTCGACTTGGGTGGGTGACCCATGTATTCCTGATTTGGAGTCACGATCGCTAGTCGAATCGTGTGTGCTAGTCTTCGTTTTCTCTTAGTGTGTCGACTTAGTGCTTCGAGTCATCTTCGCTCCAGTTTGAAGTTGTGAAGGCTCTCTGGTTTTTTGGTCCGAAGTTGTAGCTCTCTCGTCTTGGTCTGATCGTGCTTGCAAGGGTTCTTCTTTGTTCTCTCGCTTTGATTCGAGGCATCAAGGGTTCACTCTCGCTCATCTTTGCTTCGCGAAGAACCTCTCTCACGAAGGTTTGCTCTCTCTCTCTCTTGGTGGTGTCGTTTTCATAAAGCCTCTCTCTAGCTCAGCTTCGCTTCGCGAAATCCATCTCTCTCACTAACCTCCTTTGTTGGTTCTATATGCTGGTTCTCTCTCTCTCTCTCTTTGAGTTGGGTTTGGATCGTGACTCAGCTGACCCTTAGATTTGAAGGAGTGTCATTTGTATACTTGGTATCTGTCGGCTAATTGTTGACCCACATATATTTGACCCATCTAGTCTTTTTTTTTGGGTTTATTATATTTTGACCCATTAGTTTGTAGTTTATTACACTTTGTTTCGTTAATTCTTTCTTTTTTTTTTTTTTTGGTTCATTAAAATGTCAGATGATAAGATTGATAGGCCCGAGAATAGGTCACTGGCTTATGATGAGTGTGCCTTTTGCCATTAGCGAGGCTATTGGAAGTATCATTGTCCCAAGAAAGGACATCTGCCCATCACGTCTTCTCAGCAATCTCAAACCCAGTTCCGCGCTCCCCTTCCGAGTACTTTTCGTCGTTCCATCGGTTCCACTGCATTTGCTCCGACTCTTGATCCTGACTTGGCTTTCTTGAGTGCTCAGATTAGTCAACTTTGTTAAGCATACGTGTATTTTATTCTTAAGGGTAGTTTAGTCATTGTTCGCAATAAGGGTTAGCATAGTTGACTTATATATATTTCTCGAGTAAATCCTTTTTTTGTTTAATGAAATAATATGATACTTTGTTCCTAAGTAAGTTTTCATGGTATCAGAGCAAGGTGTTGATAGCTAACCTAGAAAAATCTCATTGGTATTGGAGTATGAACTGAACATAGGTTTGTGGTTTCTTCTCTTCGTTTGCCGCTATACACTCTTGCATCGAAGTCAAGTGGGCTCATCTGTGCCTCACGAAGTCGTGACTTTCTCCCTCATCTCACAGTCGCGTTTGTGCCTCGTGAAGTCGCGACTCTCCCTCTCATCTCACAGTCGCGACTTGGGTACTCGTCTGTGCCTCACGAAGTCGCTACTTTCTCTCTTGTCTTACAGTCGCGTTTGTGCCTCGTGAAGTCACGACTCTCCCTGTCAGTCACGTTTGGCTCTTCCAATTGTGATTGATATTGGCTCGTTTTGGTTCGAAGCTGTGGCTTTTGCAACCTCGTCCCCTCACGACTTGGGTACTCTACTTCAGCTTCCTTTTCTTTTTTTTGTGTTGCCGTCTCTTGTGACTTCTCAGTGGGTAATTAATATGGTTGAGAATTTTCTTTGGTTTTATAACTTGGTTTGATAATTGCAAACTGTTGGGGGTTGTTGCTGAACTTTAGATTTGCTCTGTAAAGTTCTTTATTATTTATATTGTTGATATCATGTCTAGTGGAACGTCATATTCACTTCAAGCCATTAGTGTGAAGTTAGTGGAGGATAATTGTGTTCATTGGGCCTATGTCATGAAGATTTTTCTTCTGGGTAAAAATGTTTGGGATGTCACTAGTGATTCTCTTATGCCCATTGATGCCAATGTTGAAAAGTTTCAAGATTTGCTCTCTACATGGCAGGTTACTAATGCCAAGATTATTACTTGGATTAATAATTTTGTAGATCAGTCTATTGAGGTTCATTTTGCCAAGTTCACTACTGCGAAGCAAATTTGAGATCATCTCTCTCGGTTGTATGTTCAATCAAATTTTGTTAAACGTTATCAGTTAGAACACGAGATTCGTGCTACTCAACAAGGTGATGAGAGCATCCAGGAATTGTACTCTGTCATGACTGGTTTGTGGGATCAATTAGCTTTTACTGAGCTTAAGTCATTGAGCACTCATGCGGCATATTGTACTTATCAAGAGGAGCAATGGCTGGTTCAGTTCTTGATGGCCCTTAGGGTTGATTTTGAGGGGCTTCGCGGTACTATTCTGCATCGTAGTCCTCTTATTTCTGTTAATTCTGTGGTTAATGAGTTATTGGTTGAAGAACTTCATTTCAAAGCAGCTCCTAGCAAAGGATTGCTTCCTTTGCCAACTCAAAACAGTTCTGGTCGTTCCTACTGGTCATTCTTCTACTATTTCCAGCAAATCCTACTCTCGTGCTCCTATGGATGAATGAAGCTTTTGTCATAAAAAAAGGTCACTGGAAGGCTCAGTGTCCTCAGCTTTTGGGCCGTCCACCGTATGGGCAATCGCCGACTTGGAGAAAGAATTATGATAGGCATTCTAGCCAATCATCCTCTTGGAAAAAGGGTGGAGACAAATATACAGCTGCCACGGCTTCTTCAGTGGATGATTCCTCTCCATCTTTGACTGTTATTGCTGAACAATTGCAAAAACTCCTCTCTACTCAAACGCCAAATGCCTAAGTTATCTCATCTCCTCTTGGTTTGTCTTCCTCCTCTTCATCTCCTCCAGGTATATCTTGTTCCACATGGGTTTTTGATTCTGGTGCTATGCATCATATGGCACATGATTCCTCCCTCTTATTGTCTATCTTTTCTCCTCCTACTAGTACTATTATGGTTGCCAATGGCACTCCTATGTCTCTAGCCGGGGTTGGGTCCATTTTGATTGATACTCTCTCTTTCATATGTTTATTGTATTCCTCAGTTAACTTTGAATCTTATTTCCGTCTGTCAACTTTGTGCCATTGGTTATTGTGTTTACTTCTTTTCCTCTGGTTGTGTTGTGCAGGATTCTCATTCCAAGCAACTGATTGGGACGGGCCATAGGTTAGGAGGATTATATGTTCTGGAGAAACTACATGTTCCTCCTATTATTGCATCTTCAGTTGATTTGTCTTCTTTTCGTTTGAGTCCTAAGTTGTCTGTTTTTTATTTATGGCATTCTCGCCTTGGTCATGTGTCTAGCTCTCGTTTACAGTATTTAGTTTCTACTAGTGTCTTAGGTTCTTTGAATAGTCATAATATTTCAGATTGTAGTGGATGCAAACTTGCTAAGTTTATTGATTTACCATTTAATAAAAGTTTCACTACTTCTTCTAAACCTTTTGATCTTATACATTCTAATGTGTGGGGCCCTACACCCATTCCTACTAAAGGGATTCCCGATATTATGTCTCTTTTATTGATGATTATACTCGACATTGTTGGATTTATCTAATGAAGCACCAATCTGAATTTTACTCTATCTATGCTGCCTTTCGTGCCATAATTCAAACCCAATACTCTTCTGTTATTAAATGTTTTTGGTGTGATTTAGGTGGGGAATATTGTGATAATGATTTTCTTCACTTATTACAATCGGATGTTACTCTTCAACAGTCTTCCTATGCTGAAACTCCTGAGCAAAATGGTGTGGCTGAACGCAAGCATCGTCACATCATGGAAACCGCTCATTCTTTGTTGATCTCTGCCTCTGTTCCTAGTTCATTTTGGGGAGAGGCTCTTCTTACTGTTGTCTATATTATTAACTGCATA